CATTAATGTAAATCATTTTTTTCTATGTTTAAGCAAACATGTATTCATACACATAGCACAAAACAAAGAAAATTCAATGCAGGTGAATTCCATGTCCTAACCCAAATATTCCCGTAACGAAAAATGATGAACTCACTTCTCATAAGACTTATGTAAGATCTAAAGCCTAAGCTCTGGTACCAAGTTGTGACGTCCCAAAATCTGGGGGTCCGGAATTGACTTGTTGATCACCCATCAACCCGTGAAATAACCTGTGATTCCGCTTAATGCGATAACACGTAGTGATACTCCATTCATCGGGGTCTATAACTTTAACAAAATTCGGGCAGAGTCTCTATTGTATGGGGAGTTTATCCAAAACACAACCTGAACCTAAGTAACTCCAATGACCACACCAAGTCAAAGATCAACATCCAATGTATTAAATATTAACTAACAACCATTCATGTAAAACACATTTATTTTTGAAAAGAATTGATACATAGCCCCAACATACATGCCTTTAATCCAAAATATACAAATCTTTGTATAAATAATTACAATGCCAAAAAATAAATACAATGGGACTACAATTCCAAAATGTGACCCACACTTTGGCTCCATCTTCAAAGGGGGCCTGTAGGAGGGCCTGCAGCGGAAACATGTGTGATACTTGAAAAATGTTCCCATTGAGGGTGAGTCGACACTCAATAGGGTACCTCCTGTGGAGATCACCTCCCAACTTATATGCATATGAAATGTCCTACAATTATAAACTCTTTCAAACATTCATTCACATATATACAACATGAATAAAGTTGCACACTGTGCCATGCCATAAAGTGAGAACTCATGCATGCAATGCCAACACTAAGCCCCATCCCAAGCCACCACAACACATGCAATGTCATGCATATGAATTCGGACATTTCAAACTCATGCCATTAATATTAAACATCCAATGACAATTTAATTAATTTTGTGTCTTTTTGTGACGGAGATTTATGTTCTTTCACCAAAAGGACACTACACCGTTAACGGATCTTCAGGACATCCCACTTATGACTCCATTTTCGCCATTACAATTTTCTAGAATTTCACCGCTAGAAAATGTAAAAACCAACTAATCGGGTCTTGCACTTGAGGAAGAATGTAAAACTCGTGAAAATTTAAAATTTTATTATGAAGGACAAAATGGTAATTAGTCATTGCGATACGAGTTGAAAATCCAAATTTTTATAGAACTCAGATGATGAAACAAATCTCAGCATTGAATTCATCTTGAGAAATCTAGTTACCTAACCAATTTTCGTTGAATTCCGAGACAACCGAATTTTTCATGTTTTTTGATGCAATTGGGCGTCGCGTGACTAAAATAAACGTGATCGAATTTTAATTGTGAAATATAAATATAACTTGTCAAGCCTTGAACCTTCTTGGTTAAAGGATGTAATTGGTTCAATATTAAGTGTAAATTGATGGCGATTAGACGTTGGAATAGTCAAGTGATTGATATGTGTTGGCTACAATCCCGGTGAAAGGGATATGATGACTTGGTGTCGGGTTATGTGGAATTCATGGGCACTTCCACGGGTTAATGGGTGATTAACGCATTGAGAAATGACACTCGATTTTAAGAGCATCATCGAGAATCTAGCCCTTCTTGCTACACTATGACTCATTTATTTATGCAAAACCTAGTGCAACTCAGCTGCACCTAAGTCCAACCTTTTCGAACCCACCCATCCACTCACCTAGTTGATGATTGACCTAAAACCATACACAGACATTCACATTCTTGTCAATTCCCATGAATGTAGTGCAACTCATGCATATGCAATTCATATCTTCATGTTCATCATATCATAAAAACATATAATGAACATGTCCATTACTATAAATATTACCAAACATGTCATATATGATTACAATCCAATAAACATACTAGAACTAACCTAAACATTTTATCAAAACACTTAGATGATATGAAATGTAAACATATAGCATACTCACAACAAAGCCACATAAACTTCATCATAATGTTAATTATATCATTGAAGCATATAACAACATTCTAGCATACCACCCTACACATGTTGAATACATTGATTAGCTTAATTAACATGTTTGATTTCATTAAAACATTTCATCAAACACATAGGGTACATACAATGTAAACATATAATAAACCCAATAATCCATTTAACATACATATGGACTCATACCCATATCACACGCTAACAAATCAATTAAACTTGATATGTCGGCCATGCTAATTTACAATTAACATGTTTTAAGTCATTAACTCTAACACATAACAAATTAATCATAATAGGATTTCACAAATTAAAGAATTAACTATAAATCATTCATTTAACCCAACTCATATACACACACTATTTAAGAGTTAAAACATGTGATATACACACCCATAGCCCTACCGATTTCATATAAAAACCCTAGGTTGAAAGAAAATCTAGATAGGAAGGAACCCTACCTCTTGCAGTGTGTGTACAAGGTAGAACAACTCCTCATGATACCCAACGATGCTTTGTTCGACCCCTAGCCAAAACTCAAATTTTTTCCGTGTGTCGTAATTGACCGTGGATGGTACCCACGCGTAGCCCTTGCCGTTGTGAGTAACTTTAGTTCTTACTCTGAGCCAAGTCGTTTGCTCGAATCTTGCTAAATCGAATAGAGAAGGTAAAAAGAAGATGTAGAAAATGAAGTTCTGCCCTCTCTCTCTCTCTCTACTTAAACTTGGATGAAAAATGAGTGGAGTGGAAGACTTTCTCCCATTTCAAGCCCCTTTATATACTTGGCCCACATTGCGCCACACGTCTCATTTTAACATGTCCAATTTTATTTCAAATCAATTAAATCTTACCCTTGTTAAGTTTAGTATATTTTTATTCAACTAAATTTAAATTATTTCTTGGGTCTCACAAATAAAATTTGATCGCGATACCTAATCGCTTCATAATGAGCAAACAATCTGACTATTTTGAAATTCAATGAAAATTGACTGTGTAACTAAATTTCGTGAGACAAATCCAATGGTGATGACCATTTCGTCATCCAAGTTATACAAAAATTCGAGTTTTCGACTTGTGCTTTAATGACTAATTACTGTTTTTACCCCTTTTTAATTAAGTTTTAATTTTTCTGGATTTTACAGGTGTTAGATGGGGCCTAGTGTTTCTCCAAGCTTATCATCAGCCTCAAAAGAAGATCTGACTTTTTCAAAATTTCTCTTTATTGCCTACTTTCATCACAACCCTTGGACATCAGGGGAAGAAGTTTTGCCTCCAGGTTGCTGTGTAAGAACATGGGTGACTATTATGTTCAGTGGAGGAGATGGAGGAATTTGCAAAAATTGGACAATCAGATCATCGTCTGGTATGGGGATAGGAGCAGGTTTGGTAGAGGGTCTAGTTTCAAAAGGAATGGAGGGAATAGGGTTCAACACCAAGTTGATGTAGTTCTTAATTAATCTCTCTACACATCTCTTACTTTTTGAACTTCTTTTGAGGCCTAGAGATGAAAGCAATTTTGGCCCTAGCATCTTCTCTATGCTCGACAAGTTGTGTTGTAAAGGACTCAGGAAATACTATAAAAGAATGGTAGGTAGTTTGATAATCGAGCACATGAGTTGGTTGACAAAAGTGGTTGGTATTTAAAGACCATATTTTTCACAAATCTTCTAAATCCACCAACTCCTTTGAAAATTTTACTTTGATGGTTTCACCTGCACAAGGTAGAAGGGAATTAGAGAAGAAGTAAAAAATAAAGGAATTTAGCAAAAAAGAAGGGCCTTTGAGATCACGTAGGCCACCCTCTCCATAGGGGCATCTATAGCGAGGCTCTTCAACCTCTTTGTGCTCCCAATTCCCAAACATGAACAAGATATTATTTTCCTATCACTTGTTGGAATTGGGGAGGTGGGTAACAAGATAAAGTGCCTTCCTTACTTCGAAGTAATAGTTTCTTATCAGTGAACTTTATCATATAAGAGTAAAGAATCTCCCAAAGGCCAAGAATGACACCAAGAAGATCATTGAGGGCAACGATGCCCATCACTATCCTAAAGAAGTTAGGATAACATTGGATGGGATAGAGTTTTAGAGAGGCAAAAACTCTAAGAAGAAGATGGTGGAGATGAAACCTAACTCCAAACTCGATTATAACTTGTGTAGGGATGAGAATGGACTCTCCAGATCCTATGAGAGGTTCATCTTCCTAAACAACCACAATGAACATGTCATTGGGGATCCTATGTTTGGCCTAGAAAACAAAGATTTTGTCCTTGTTTGGATGGGCCATGATAGAAAAAACAAGGAGAATGGTAAATATAGAGAAAAGAAGGGGAACAAACGAATTATGGAGGCTTGAAGGATAATGAAGGACTCAAGAAATGTAAAAATGGAGGAAAAATGAGAGGAGTTCCCCTTTATTTTATTATAAACTTATTACATAATACTTAAATATAGGAAAAAAAAATTTAGATTACTCTTAACTAAATTTTTACCCAAATTTTGGTCAAAAAACTATCAAAATTACATAGTTTTAATTATGAGCTATTCAAATTTTAGTTAACAACCACCCATATTACTTATTTTTTTGTTAAGAGTTACCCAAATTTTGGTTAAGAGCTACCTAAATTAATTTTTGTTCATATTTAGGTATTACGTAATAAATTTATGATACAAAATCGTTAGTAATTTAGATGTTGTTTGTTTGAGATACCACATAGAAATAGAATTAATAGTTTAAGGACTAAAATGATGCAATTGAAATATTAGAGATTAAAATGAGATAAATCTCATACTTTAGAGACCTCTAATGTAACTAAACCTAATTCGTATAAATGAGTGTAATTCTACGCAGTCTAATAAATTTATAACGGTAAGTATTTTTGAGTTTGTATTGTTTATGAGACAAACTCTACATTTTATGGAATTTCAGTGTAAATAATCATAATATATATTGATAGGTGTTGAATTTTACCGCCCAAAGGTTGACGAAACTACGTCGTTAATGGAATAGCAAAATCGCTGACCGTCAAAGTCCCACCCAGTCCTACCCGCATCTCGTCTGGCCAGCCTGATATCCCAGCCGTGACAGCAGCCGCGCCGCACCACACTGAACGCTAATTGATAAAAGAGGGCTTTGACGGTCAGCGCCAGCTCATATAGCAATCTCCGCCCCCACACAACCATTTATTCCATTTTAAGACTCCTGCAACTCTCTCTCTCTCTCTCTCTCTCTCTCTCTCTCTCTCAACTTCTTCTTCACAATCGATTAGCTGTATCAAAAGAGGTATGCATCGATTCTTTTGCTGTTATAGGTAGGGTTAAGGTTAGATCTTAGATTTTTTAAAATGATTGGTTTGCTTGTAGTTTTGTAATCGTTGACTGTGCGTTGATATGTTGAATTGGTTGTCGAATTGGTTATTTACACTATTTGCAGTTCGATCTGTTGAGATTCCAAGCTCTAATGCTCCATTTGGTTGCTGAGAAAATGTATACATCCCAAGAATGGGAGTTTAAACTTCTGAATCATTAATTTCTACTTTATTTGTTTAGTTGAAAAATTATTTCCGAGCAAATGAAGCATAATAGTTCGATCTATTTGAAGATTCGAAACAACATGGAACTTGATGTTTGTAAGTATAACGATTTTACTTAGCAACCAAACCGTACGTGTGATCCTCGGTTAGGTTGCTGAGGGAGGATTTTGGTTATTGGATGCGAAGTAGTTGCGATCCCTGAGAATAAATCCTTTTATCAGCTCAGGATTGTTGTTTTAGAGTGCTATAGTTTTTTAAATGTCTGAGCAAACCTAACTGTGGAGTATATCTGAACTAAACATTATTTATAAAATGAATGCAAGCTACACTGTAACCTTATGGATTAGCTGAAGCTTAATATTTCCATTATTTTGTCAATACGTTATCTGAGCGTTTTAACAGAGGATTGTTCATAACCCAAAGGCATTTTTTTTAAGATTGATAGCATTTTGCAAAATTTGTTTCCTGACTGTAAGTGCATTTCGTGTATTTTAATGATGGATGTGCTTAAAATTTATGATGTAGTAGATATTAGTCAACTCTAATAAATATGTCACCAACTGACACATCGCGGGAGGAGAATGTCTACATGGCCAAACTGGCAGAACAGGCTGAACGATATGAGGAAATGGTTGAGTTCATGGAAAAAGTTGCTAAGACTGTTGATGTTGAGGAGCTGACAATGGAGGAGAGAAACCTCCTCTCTGTTGCTTACAAGAATGTGATTGGTGCTAGGAGGGCTTCATGGAGGATCATTTCTTCCATTGAGCAGAAGGAGGAGAGCCGTGGAAATGAGGACCATGTCACAATAATTAAGGACTATAGGGCTAAGATTGAGGCTGAGCTAAGCAAGATCTGTGATGGTATTTTGAACCTTCTCGAGTCCCATCTTGTTCCCTCTGCTTCATCTGCCGAGTCCAAGGTATTTTACTTGAAGATGAAAGGCGATTACCATAGATACCTAGCTGAGTTTAAGACTGCGGCAGAGAGGAAGGAAGCTGCTGAGAGCACTTTGTTAGCTTACAAGTCTGCTCAGGTTGGCGGACCATTGTGCTTCTTTGTTGCTTTTTTTTTTTTTGGTGGCTTATTAAAACATCATTGTTGTTAAATCTCCTCGATTGTTTTTGTTTTTGTTTTTGATGATTTAGGATATTGCTTTGGCTGAACTGGCTCCTACTCATCCAATAAGGCTTGGACTTGCACTTAACTTCTCTGTGTTTTATTACGAAATCCTTAACTCACCTGATCGTGCTTGCAACCTTGCGAAACAGGTACCTTTGCACTGATTGATTTTATTTATTTGACTCTGTATCCGGCTGTGGTATAATAGATCACTTCGTTTTACTGTTTATCCATCTATGTGTTTGGATAGTTATGAAAAATGGGTGCTTCAAATGAAGTGGGATTCTAGTAGCATTTTTTGTTTTTTCATTTATGGATACTTTACTGGTGGATATTGTTGTAATGATGTAAAAAATATAAAAATTTAATTTGTAGAGAAGTGATTAATTGACGTGATCAGATTTTTGTCCTTAGTTTTGTTTAAAAACCATGTTTGTGTGGCAGGCTTTTGATGAAGCTATCTCCGAATTGGATACATTGGGTGAGGAATCATACAAGGATAGTACATTGATCATGCAACTTCTCCGAGACAACTTGACCCTGTGGACTTCTGATATTACGGTTTCTATCTCTCTCTCTCTCTAGTCTTACATTTTGTCCAACTTATGTTCATTGGCCTTGCATTTATTATTACAACTTGGTCTGCTGTTAAACCTGCTTTGCCCAGGGTCTGGAGCATTTGGCGCACTGATGTAAATTGAGCTTAGCATTTTATTTTAGATCTAAGCTAACCTTTAATCTCCCAATAAACTTGGTCGCAATATCACAGTACTATATTTTCATAATTTCACAATCATTAATCCTGATCTGCTTCTTCATCACTCTTTTAGCCCTTCAGTTAGTATATGTGGGCATGATCCATGACGCAATGAACCGAATAGAGGTTTGGCAATTAATGTCCCAATCCTATTGAATCATTTGGAACTGAGTCCCAGCAATTTTCAACTCAAGGAGTTATTCAAGAATATCACCATTCTCAATATTAATTCATTTGCCATTGCTTTGTTAGCTCTTGAGTGGGTATGATGTTGGATAGCAATATAAAATCAAAAAAGGGGCTGTTTAGGATCTGTGAACAGTATCCAGGAACAATAATTATGCTGTGAACAGTACCGTAAATGGTAACTTTGACTAGGAATTACTCCTAGGGTTCCTTAGGCATCACTCCTAGGGGTTAGAATTGCATCACACAACTCAAGAAGCATATAATTGCTGAATTTTCTAAAATATCTCTCTCTATCTTTTATTAAAAATGTTACTAATTGTTAACTATATAGAGTTCTAAGTATTCTTAACCCAAAAGATTAGGATTCCAAATCTTCTACATCACTAAAAATTAGATGACTAAAACAAGTTCGAAGTAGGACTCTAAATTCTAGTATATCCAATACTAAATTTTGACCCAAAAGACTCTGACCCATTCTAGAAATTATAAAAATTACAAAAATACCTTTGAGTCTAAAATCTATTAAAAGTATATATAAAATATTAATACTAGCAAATGGACTTGAGCTAAGTTAAAATAATACTCAAAATATAGTAATGCAAGGTTTTATATGGATCTTTGTCTTGATAACAAGTTAATTCCATTATTTTCTACATGTTTGAATTTGTATTTTCTTGAGTATCTCATGGATTGCATCAGCGAGATTATGTGTACGTGGTATGAAATGACTTAGGGTTTTGTTATTAAGGTCTCAAGCATCATTTGGCCCATTTTGAATTTCGTTCAAAGTCTTTTTCTACCGTGGTGTTACTGTTTTCTGGTCTATGTATCATTTATTTCAGGATGAAACCGGGGATGAGATCAAGGAAGCTTCAAAACGTGAGGCGGGTGACAGACAATAGCCGCGAGCTTCTGTATGTTCCGTTTGTGCCTTATTATAGATTTCATTTGGGGGTGTTAGTACATCTTCATAGAGTCGAACTGCTGCTATGTTGCTCAGTTTTACATATTATTAGGTTGTATTATTGCTGTTCAAAAGAATTGGGTTTGGTGGTTTTGTTATCAGAGATGTTGGTTATTTTAGTGGTTTTCGTCTTGGTACGAATTTGACATGATTCAAGTGGTTGCTTTTGTCGTTTTGGTACTTCATATTATTGCATATACTTGGTTCTTTTCAAAATTAGAGGCTTGTATGAAAGGTGATGGTGAGCTGGGGAAGAGGAAATTGCCGTTGCTCCTTGAGGTATCCAACCCCTAATTGCACACTGCCACGGTGTAGGTTTTACCACAATTATTTGGCCATCCTTATTTAGGTGCTGCAGTTGCATAGCTGTGCTCTGTCTCTCTCACACACACAAACACACGCATTGTTACTGTTCTCCTCTCACGATCCCTCACCTCTACTGCCTATTATGCTAATTAGTTGCCCCTTCCCTCTCCTTCAATCACCCCTGGTCAGGGATGGCCCTAGGCAAATTGAGGCGGCCCTGTTAATTTTTATTGTAATAATATATAATATTTATTATTTAAATATTAAACAATAGTTAGTCAAACAAACAAAACTATTAATTAATTTTTGTATTCAAATTTTTTGGACATCATTTTACTTTATACTATTTCCCATCCATTCAAGGTCAAATACATAACATAGTAGTAAAATAACGATTAATGATATAATCATTTCAATTTTAATATAAAACAATTAAGAGCATTTACAGTCATCTTTATTTAGACTTAAATTTAAATTTAAGAAAAAATTATCCAAAAATTTTAATCAATCCTATATTTTTAACATACACCAAAGAGTAATACTGTTTGGATCTAAAAATTTGACTTAATTTGTTCTATACTAAACTAAGGACACTCAAATTTTTACTTGGATCAAGGCTAAAACTTTCAGTCAAATTATCAATGGTCATATTTTATTCTCCTTTAAAAATTCAATGGTCATATTTTGATCTCTTTTACATTTTAGTTTGTTATCCTTTAAATTTAAATTTGTACTTCTTTAAATTTAAGTATATCCATTGGAGTCATTTGTATTTAATTAAGCCTTTTACTCAAATTTGAGTTAAAAATTGAGTTAAAATTGGAGATTTTACAGTTAGAGGTGACAATCTTAACTCATTATCCATTAATCCTCTTACCCGCACATAATTTAATGGGATAAGTACTTATATTAATTAATGCAAGTCCTAAATGGGTTGGGTAATAAGATTCATTTTAAGTAAACAAATTAAGATGTATTGCAAATGGGTATCGATTGAATTGAGTATTTTTTTTTTCTATTAAATAACAAAAACTAATAAAATCAAATACACAATAATATACCAAAGAATGCACACACACGCTCGCTCACTAATACACCAAAAAATATACACACATGCACTAATACACCAAAATATACACACTAATATAACAAAAAAAATAAACATATACACTAATACATTAAAAAAAAAACACGTACACTAGTACACCAAAACACACAAATATTATTAGTACACCAAAACACACACACACTAATACACTAAAATATATATAAACACACATTATTACACCACAACACACATACATACAGTAATACATAAAAAATACACAAATACACACTAATGCACCAAAATACACATACACTGAACTTGGGTTCAGACTGAACTTGGACTTGGACCCGTAGACCCGACTCGAACTCAAAACCTGTACTCAACCTTGTACCTAGACTCGACTCGAACCTTGGACCTCGACCCTTAGACCAAGATCCAACCCCATACCTAGACTCAACCCCAAACCTAGACTCGGACACAGCCCCAGACCCAAACCTGGACCCGACCTGGACCTGTGTGTATGTGTGCATTTTTGTGTAGTAGTTTATTTCCATTTTGGCATATTAATATGTAACGCCCCAAATACCCCCTCGGACGGCATTACATTCTAAAACCTTTCACAATCATGAGAGCACTAAATAAATCCATAAATAAGAAATTTTTATCCATCAACCATTGATATTTTAACAAAATTCGGGCAGAGTCTCCTTTGTACGGGGAGCTCTACCACAAAATCCAACCTGTGCAATTCTACTATAATGACCACACCGGGTCCAATTAACTACTATATAATCACTCCATCAAATTTACATGTTAACCCAAAAAAATATGCCCACAATGGCATGTACATTCCCAAAGAATTAAACTATGATAAGCAGCGGAATTTCAAAAGATAACTAGACTTTACAATCTTTCAAAAAATCATAGCCTAGTCTAGAACAAAATAGAAGGGCCGCTCTAGGCGTCCACCTCGGGATCTACGCTCCCGTCGATCGGAGTCTCCCAAAGAACGGGCTCCTCGACTCCTGGCTCCTCCTCAAGGATATAGTCTGAAAAATGTTAACAGTAGGGGATGAGCACTAGGCTCTGTAGCAAAATCTTCCCAACTCCAACAAGGTTTATAAAATACAAAACGGGTCGGTCACATTTCATAAATAACATATATGAATTTGAAGTAAAACGGGACATTTTAAATAGATCTCAAGTTTAAGCCATACAGTAGTTAAGGAGAGAAATAAATTAAGTTTAACCATAGCAAACCATTTCCAACATTAAGTCAATTAGGAGGGGCTCCCTCCGATGCATCGTCCCATACCAATGCACCGGCCAAGCCATTCCAGCCAATCATCACATTTATGTTGGTTCATCCCCGTACCATGTATGTTGATTGTTTCTCATGAATCTACCCAACGATTATACCTAGTCCACCATTTTATAATCACAATCACAAGTACTTAGGGAAGGGGCGTCTACCATCCCAATGGCAGTGACGAGTCCCTCCCCAGGAATGGTATACCAACCCTAGTTCGAACTCCAGGCGTACGATAGTGGTCGCATTACCAAATGACAACTCACTACAAGTGCAAGAAACCATCTCCCCCCCCCCCCACTGGGTTCAACTGACATTTACACTCTACGGCATATCTCGTAGGTAATCCAAGTCCCTCACAACCACCATACAATGAGTAAACCAACATATTCTCAATCAATTCACATTTTACCAATTAATCGCAAAATACCCAAATTTCACAAGTAAAGCGTCATAGCAAGATGGAATTAAAATGAGCAAAAGATCAATATAAAGATCATTTTCGTTGAACAATATCGAACACTAAATTTATAAAGTGAGAACCAAGGCAATATATGGAGAAAACTCAACTTTTCTTAAAACCAAGTTTGGAAGATGAAAAAGAGAAATTTAATGGTTACCAAACCATCCCATTATTCAAACATAGCATTTATTACAAGGAGAATTAAGAATCATACAAATCATATCAAATAAATATGGATGGGAGTGGAAAACATATGTATATACATAAACCCTAGCCTCAATGTAAGAAATTAGGAAGAAATCCCCTACCTCTTGGTTGTAGCTTCAATCTAAGACCCAAGATTCAAAATCTTCCTATTCTCCTTCCTTTTCCTCTTAATTTCGTCCTCCTAGGGTTTCTAGAGATTTGGGTGTGAGTGGTTGAGGAATAGAAGCAAAAGAAATGGGTGGAGAAGAGAAAACTTGAGAAATTCGGTTTTGATCTTTATGAGGTGGGAATCTCTCTTGACCTTGGTGTTTTTCTCTCCCTTTTCTCTTCTCTTAGGGCTCTAAGGTATTTAGAGTGGAAGGGAAATGAAGAATGGGAGAAATAGGGCTTGGAATGGGTGTTTTAAAACCCAAAAATCCCGACTTTTACTGTTCATCGTCTGTTTTGGGGGTTTTCCAGACTTACTGTTTTCCTTATTTTTGATCATGATAAACTTTGAATCTGAAAAAGTGAAAAACATGAAAGTTGTAGATCTAGATGTCTTCTGCATTGTGTCAAAATTTCAGCTCAATCGGACCATTGTAGCAAGAGTTATGACGATTCTACGACAACTGGTCCGGAGTAGGCAATGTACCCGGAGCAGCGCCCCAGCGCCCATTTGGGCGCCCCTTTTCACTTCCAATCCTTCCAACTTTAATCCTAACTTATCCTACATACTTTTCTACATCGACCTAATTAGTTCAAGTTCTTTTATGATTTATTTTGTACATTTTCATACCGAAACTAATCTTTTAACTACTCTTTCCTTGAGTTATACTATTTTATCATTTCAAATGAAATAATTACTGAACACCTATGTCTTTTATATTTTTTTTTTTAAACGCATGTGGGGTATTACAATCCACCCCCCTTAAAGAAAGTTTCGTCCTCGAAACTTACCTCCAGTAACGAACAGAAATGGATACTTCTCCCGCATTTCCAGCTCCGGTTCCCAAGTAGCTTCTTCCACTCCATGATGTTGCCACAAGACTTTCACCAATTTGATTACTTTGTTGCGAAGCACTTTCGCCTTGGCGTCAAGAATCTTCACCGGTTGTTCTTCATAGGTTGCTCCGTCTTGAATCTCAATGTCTTCCAAGTCTACGACCGGCGTTGCATCCGATTGACACTTTCTCAACATGGACACGTGAAATACGTCGTGTACTCCAGACAACTGAATTGGTAACCGCAACTGATATGCCGCTTTGCCCACAACTTTGATCACTTCAAAGGGTCCGGTATATCTTGGTGCTAATTTCCCTTTCTTGCCAAATCGAAATACTCCCTTCTTGGGGGACACCTTAAGGAATACATAGTCCCCCTCTTGGAATTCTAATGGTCTTCGTCTTCGATCCGCATAGCTTTTCTGTCTACTCTGTGCCGTGCGTAGTCTTTCCCGGATGAGCTGAATTTTCTCTGTAGTCTCCCGAACAATCTCTGGCCCAAACAAGCTACTCTCGCCCGCTTCTAACCAACACGTCGGGGATCTACACGGTCTTCCATACAATGCTTCATACGGTGCCATCCCAATGCTTGCCTGATAGCTGTTGTTATACGCGAACTCCACCAACGGCAAATGGTCACTCCAACTCCCCTTGAAGTCCAACGCACATGCACGTAGCATATCTTCCACAATCTGTATCACCCTCTCAGATTGGCCATCTGTTTGGGGATGGAACGCGGTACTGAAATGTAACTCTGTCCCCATGGCTTGTTGTAGACTTTGCCAAAATCGCGCCACAAACCGAGAGTCACGATCCGACACAATAGAAAGCGGAACTCCATGTAACCGCACTATCTCACGGATATATAACTGGCTCAAGGTCTCGAATGTATCCGTGGTCTTCATACTCAAAAAGTGAGC